GTCTGCGCCCCCGGCGCCCCACGCCAACCCCTCGAACCCTTTCTACGAGGCCCTGTCCACGCCCAGCGTGCTGCCCGTCATCAGCGCGCGAAGCCCCTCGGTGGGCAGCGAGTACTACATCCGGCTGGAGGAGCACGGCTCCCCGCCCGAACCCCTGTTCCCCAACGACTGGGACCCCCTGGACCCAGGAGTGCCCGCCCCCCAGCCCCCTCAGGCTCCCTCCGAGGTCCCCCAGCTGGTGTCCGAGACCTGGGCCTCGCCCCTCTTCCCGGCGCCCCGGTCCTTCCCGGCCCAGGCCTCGGCCTCAGGCGGCTTCCTTCTGAGTGGCTGGGACCCCGAGGGCCGGGGCGCCGGGGAGACCCTGGCTGGGGACCCCGCCGAGGTGCTGGGGGAGCGGGGGACCACCCCATGGGCCGAGGAGGAAGAGGAGGAGGAGGAAGGAAGCTCCCCGGAAGACAGCAGCAGCCTTGGGGGTGGGCCCAGCCGCCGGGGTCCCCTCCCCTGTCCCCTTTGCAGCCGGGAGGGGGCCTGCTCCTGTCTGCCGCTGGAGCGGGGCGACGCCGTGGCTGGCTGGGGGGGCCACCCCGCTCTCGGCTGTCCCCACCCCCCTGAGGATGGCGTTTTTCTACGAGCAGAGCGAGGCTCCCTGGCCGACCTGCCCCTGGCCCCCCCTGCCTCGGCCCCCCCCGAGTTTCTGGACCCCCTCATGGGGGCAGCAGCCCCCCAGTACCCCGGGCGGGGGCCACCACCCGCTCCCCCCCCCCCGCCGCCACCTCCCCGGGCCTCCGTGGACCCGGCCGCGTCCCCCGACCCCCCGTCGGCCGTGGCCAGTCCCGGCTCAGGCCTGTCCTCTCCGGGCCCCAAGCCGGGGGACAGTGGCTACGAGACCGAGACCCCTTTTTCCCCCGAGGGAGCCTTCCCGGGCGGGGGGGCAGCCGAGGAGGAAGGGGTCCCTCGGCCACGGGCTCCCCCCGAGCCCCCCGACCCAGGAGCGCCCCGGCCACCCCCAGACCCGGGTCCCCACGCACTCCTGGGGACCCGGGAGAAACCTGCCTTCATGGTTCAAGTGAGCACCGAGCAACTGCTGAAGTCCCTGCGGGAGGACGTGACAAGGAACCTCCTGGGGGAGAAGGGGGCAGCCCCCCGGGAGCCGGGGCCCCGGAAGGCGGGGAGAAGCCCCGCGAACAGAGAATCGGCCCCGGGCCTGACAGTCCCGGGCAACGGCCAGAAAGCCCCGAGCCCGAACGAGGACCCGAGCCCGCCCGTGAACGGGGTGACAGTGCTGCAGAACGGGGGGCCGAGAGCCGCAGGCCTCGAGGAGACAGTGGTGGAGAACGGGGGGCCGAGGGCCCCCGAGAGAGAAGAGAAAGTGCTGGCGAATGGGGAGCTGACACCCCCAAAGAGGGAGGACAAGGTGTTGGAGAATGGGGAGCCGAGGCTGCCAGAGGCCATGGAGAAAGTGCTGGTGAATGGGGGGCTGACACCCCCAAAGAGCGAGGAGAAGGGGCCAGAGAATGGGGCGCTGAGCCTCCCCAGGAAGGAAGAGAGGCCCCCAGAGACTGGGCCTTGGAGAGCCCCAGGGCCCTGGGAGAAGATGGCCGAGAGTGGGGACCCAGCCCCCACGATCGGGGAACCAGCCTCAGAGACCTCGCTGGGGACAGCCCCCAAGCCCAGCACGGCAGCAGCCCCCCCCAGGAACGGCCGGGAGACGGCCCCCGGCCCACCTGGCCCAGCCCCCAGGAGCGAGGCGCCGGACCCCGGGACCCAGAGGAGAGCCCCCGAGACTGGGGGGGTGCTGAGAGCCCCCGGGGCTGGGAGGCTGGACCACGGGAGTGGGGGCCGAGCCCCGGGGGACATGGGGACGGCCCCCGGAGGCGGCCTCGGAAGCGGCGTGGACGCAAGGGCCGGATGGGCAGACAGCACGAGGCCGCCGCCGCAGCAGCCGCCCCCGCCCCCGCCCCCGGAGGTGCAGCCGAGGAGGCCGGAGCCAGCGCCCCCGAGAGCCAGGCCGGAGGCGGCCCCCGAGGGAGACTCCAGGGCCCCAGACAGCCGAGTCGGCGGAGACACGGCACCCAGCGGAGACGGGGACCCCCCCAAGGCCGAGAGGAAGGGCCCCGAGATGCCGCGACTGTTCTTGGACTTGGGACCCCCCCAGGGGAACAGCGAGCAGATCAAAGGTGAGGAGGCGTCTGGGAGTGAGGGGAACGGGAGTGTGTGCCATTGAGAAGGGGGGCTCCTGGGAGGTGGCCTTTCTCACTCTATGACCTCAGCCAAATGAATTCTCTCTGCCTCGGTTTCCCCATCTCCCCAGAATGGTTGGCTGAGGTAGCACCTCCCTCCTAGAGTTGCTGTGAAGGTTATGTGAGGTAACCCTTCTGTAGCCTGACGCCTGGTACAGTAAACACCTGCCTTTCTTGTTGCAGTTTGCTTAGACCAGGGGTCTTAAACTCAGGTGCGACAGGGGCCAGGTTGTAGCAGGGAGTCAAGGAAGTGGGCTGGGGGAGGGGAGGAGGTGGCGGAGGCAGGGCTTTGGCTAGAGGGGGCAGCCACTTCTCGGCTCCACTCAGGAACGTCGACCCAAAGGAGACTAGTAACCCAAAGGTGGGGGTTTGAACACACCCAGTTGTGGTGCAGAATAAAGGCTTGGCAATCTGCTGGCATAAAGAGGGTAATCTTGAAAAGCCTAAGGAGCAGTTCTGCTCTTCAACACATGGGGGCGCCATGAGCCAGAATCAACTTGACAGCAGCCGGTCTGGTTTTTCAGTTTGGCAAAACCCGCCTCTTTTGTCTTACCCTGGTTCCGCCCAGTTGAAACGAAGCAAGGGTTAAATTTGCGAACAAACTGGCCTTCATCTGGCCCTATGGCCTCCTGGGTGCAGGCCCTGGGATGCCGAAAGCTGGGACCCTACGGGTGTTGAGACCCTACCTTGCCCCCTGTGGTACACGAGGGGATGCCATAAGAGAAATGGAGACTGGAGATAAAAAGGCCCTGTTTAGATGTGGATACAGAAGCCATGGTCCCACCGAGATCACTTCGAGGCCTGATTTCTTTAAATCCTGGTAGGAAAGTCAGAAATGATTCACAGGAGCAAGAAGCAGGGGCCGGCCAGGTGGGTCAATAATCCTGACAGCACCCATTGGCTGGATAGTTGCTGTGTGTCAGGGACTTCATGGCCACATTTGAGAGAAGGGTTGTCGTCTCTGCAGCTCAGTAGGTAAGGGTCAAGGAGAGGACTGGGCCCTCGACTTTCTTTTCTCATAGCCCATGGCGTTAGCATACCACCATCTCCTCCAGGTTGTGTTGTCATGGGGAGTTTGTGGCCACCTGTGTCAGAAGAGACCCCAGGTAGCATAAAAGCATCAGAGGAGGGGCAGCTAAGATGATTCAGAGGATCTGGGTGGGGTCAAGGTTGCTGGGTGAGAATGGTCTTTCTCCAACCAGCAAACTCCTACTCATCCTTCAAAACCCCACCCACATTTCCTCTTCCCTGGGAAGTCTCCCTGATTTCTAAAGGCTGTTATCTGTCCTTCTTCTGGGTACCACAGCCCCTAATAGCTCCTTCTATACAGCCCCCCCCCATCACCCTGAGATGGGTGGTCAAGGAAGGCTTCAACGAGGAGGGGACTTTTGAGTAGATGTGAAGGAAGTGGCTCCCTTGAGCCACCTGGGTGAACATCTGGAGGAAAGGTGTTCCAGGTAGAGGGCACCAAGATGGGCACTCACTTGGCATGAGGGTGGGGAGAGCAACCTGGCCCGCACCCATCTCTCCCTGCTGGCCCCTGACCCTCCTCTCGTCTGCACCATCACCCTCCCCCCCAACAGGGCCCAGCACCCAGTTCACTTATGCACTAATGGAGGAATGAGTGCCCCCTGTCCATTTACCAGTGAGGAAACAGAGGCTCAGAGAGGTGGATCTACTTGCCCAGGGACACACAGCGAGCGAGCAGGGTAGGCTTGGGATTTGAAGCCAAGTTTCCTCCCCCAGGGACCTGAGGTTTTTTCCCCTCCCCCACCCCCACCCCCACCCCATCAGGCTGAGATGGCAGAGTCTTGGGGCAGGAAAGGGGTTCAGAGACCCCAACTTTAGTGAACGCGGGCCAGAGAGGGAAAATGTCTTGTTCGTTGTCACAGAGGATATTCGACTGTAAATCCCACAAACATTGAGGGCTTGTACAGGCTGCAGCCTGGGGATGTGTTGGTGAGCAGGTTGACTCAGTCTCTGTCCTGTGGGGTGGCAAACACTGACACCACGTCCAGGAACTCGAGTTACACACAGATAATCCACTCAGCATTAGAGGCAGTGCGGTGGGGCACAGAGCAGGCGGCCCCCCCTGAACTCCTGGGAGAATCCAAGGCTTTGGGACCCAGGCTGGGGGATGGGCAGAGGAAACAGCACCTGCAAAGGCTCAGAGGTGGGAGGAATAGAGCCCACGTGGCTGAATGGAGGTCAAGCCAATAACAGGCACAGGCTGGAGAGGTCAGCAGGAAAAGTTGGGGCTGTATGGTGTGGGCACTGGGGTAGCGCAAAGACCTCTCCCGGCCTGGATGGAGACAGGCCTCCCATGCAGCCCGCAAGTTCACAGGGGGGAAACTGAGGCCTGGATTGTGTCAAAGGCTTATTTGAGAGCATGTACCTGGGTGGGAGGCCCTGCCTCAGTTTCCCCGGGGGCTTACCTGAGGACAGGCAGCCGGGTGGGAGGCCCTGCCTCGGTTTCCGCGGGGCCAGGGACTCACCGGGTCTCTCCCCTCGCAGCCAAGCTCTCCCGGCTCTCGCTGGCGCTGCCGCCGCTCACGCTCACGCCGTTCCCGGGGCCCGGCCCGCGGCGGCCCCCGTGGG